TAATTACTACGAATATTAAATTAATTCTTTATCAAGTTTCATGTAAAGAAGACATTAAAAACATATTATGCCTTTGTGTTTTAATTACGCTTTTCCTCATTTGATCCTTTGATTACTTATCTAATCATTCACTAATATGTATTCTGGGCTTTAGGATCCATTTATAAACTTAACTCACCGAAATTGCATCGATTCAATAATCTCACCCAAAGAAAATAGAAATTTTTACTAGAAAGCAATTATTACTTGTCCTCGTTGGCGGCTCAATGTTCATTCAATCACGCGTCTCTCCTCGTTCTCTCCTCGTCTCTTCTAATCTCAACTAGTTTCTTACTTGAGATTCTCACTTTGCTCTCTCGGTCCCTCGTTATACTGGCGAACTTCTCGAAACTATTCACTTCTCGAAATGGAAATACCGATGGACCGACCGATATCTCTCGGTGTCTCCCGCGATATCGCTCCGCACGTTCTTGCTCTCCTCGTTCTCGCTCTCGTCACGATCGTCGTCCTCGTAGACGGGATTCACGAACGTTACCGTGTCCGTCAACGAAGAGGATTGCCCACGACCCTCGCGGGAAAGACCGTGATCTCCGTTCCGCTCGGTGAGCCGGAGAAATTCCGCGGGACAATTCTGCGCCGCGCCCAGCGTCGTTCCCGTCGTCCTCGCGGTCTGCACGAGCCGAGAAAGACGGACAGAATCAGGGCAGGTTCCTCGATCGGGGAATCGATGTCTGTCTTTACGTGGGGGGGGAGGGGGACTCAGTCCCCGCGATTATAGCCCTGTGCAATAAGGGCGAGAAAGGTATACATGTACGGCGTTACGTTATCTGCGTCCCCAGTGAACTATAATAGTTCACTGTGCGTCTCTATATCTCTCCGTTGAGTGGTCTCTTGGATCGGTAAAAGCGTTAGCGAGATTGTTTCGGTTCCTTTTTTTCTCGTTTGCAGGGGCGGATTCGTATTATCGTAAAGATTATAATTATCAGTGAAACTTAAAATTCCTGGACTCGTCACTGCGATCGCTGGACAATGATGTCACAAACTAGAGAGTCCGTGATTCACTCTCATATTATCGAAACAAGTCAGCTTTTTCATACGTCACCAGCGAAGTTACGTTATTTGGAAATAATTTTCTGTTTTTTAGAAGTTACACAAGATTCATATGATGGATCTGTACAGCTTTAATTGATTCCAGATAACAAGAAGCCGATATCCGCCCCTGTCGTTGCTCGAATAGCAGATGGAACAGTTACGTAGAGATAATTAAGTCAAGATCGGCTGTGAGAGCGGTGTTAAATTCGCGATAGCGTGTCTTCCGATCCGAGATAGAATTAATTCCGCGAGACCACGGAGCTGCGAAATAAAATCGACAGGCGAGGATTACCTGTGGCGCAAACCTGAGCGAGCGCAGCCAAGCGACGATCTTCCGGCGAGTTTCACGAGAGATGCTACGGTAAACGATCACAAGCGAGCCGATCGCGAGGAGGATGAGGAGAGCAACGGTGGACCAGGACCAAACCGCGGGCTCTTCCCTGATAACGTCGTGCTGGGCGCAGTAGGCCGTCGGATAAAACGAGCCCGGATAATGGTACGCCGCGTACGGATCGTACGGGGGGCAACGTGGGTAAGGAGGTGGAGGATAGTACGGATAGGGGACGGGATGGGGAGGCTGTGCCGTCGGATGCGGATGGTCCCTGTCGGGATCTCGATGCGCGGCGCCGTAGGTTTGCCGGGAACGCGACGCGCACATTGGCAACGATCCTAGGACCTTGCGGGACTTGGGAGGACACTTCGCATCCTCGGGGGGATGATTTGCACGATAATTTTGTCCGCGGATGACTTTCCAAATCGGGTTAAGCGAGGAACTGGCGGTTCCTCCGCTCGAAAATTGACGAGCGGGTTTCCGCAATCCGCGCTCGCGCTGCGGCTCCGTTCGCGTCGCATCGCTCTTTTCGCTATTTCAAGTGGCAATTGATTTACGGCCTGAAGTGACGAAAAATGGAAAGGCGGAAATTCATTGCACGAGTGAGTTTCTGATTTAAAGATAAATAAAACCCCGGTGAAAAAATTTCTCAATATTTTCTCAAAAATTTGGTAAGAATTGAGACTTATAAAAAATTCTGAAAAAATATATAAAATTTCTCAGATACTTTCAGAAATAATTGGGCGAGAATTTTTGGAATATTTCACATGTAAGAAAATTTCTGATATATTGCACAGATTTTCTCACATTTATTCAGATTTCTACAAAGATATGTTGGTGAGAAAAATCTGAAAATTTTATTCCGAGACATTTTTCCACCAGGAGAAACTTAACGTAAAAATCGCAATTCTTACTCACTTTGTGGCTGAGATCCATGACGTCCTCCAAAGATACGTCGCTGTACACATCGTCTGCAGGATCATAATTTGAGCCCATTCCCGAGCTGTTGAAGCTGCCACTGCGATAAAGCTGGCTGTAAACATCGGAAAATTCTTTTAGTATTCCACGAAAAAAAATCACTGACTTATTGAAACAAAATTTTTCGAAATTATTCTTATAGGAAACTGTTAATATTGCATCTACACATCACGATATCAGAAAGTTA